CCTTTCTGCCACTCCTTCCCTCTTCCCTCTCTCCTCTCTCTTCCCTCTGGTCCCCTTCCACTGACCTCCCACCAAGTTACGACCTTCCGCCACTGTCCTGTACTTCGTACTCGGGCACTGCTCATACCTTTGCTCTGAGCCTCCGTCATAGCTCCTACCTTGGACTTTGACTCCACCTCGGCCTTAGTCCATTGCATTGGTGACCTCATACTATGTAAACACCATTGCCAATATTCCTCGGACTTTCAACCCCACCTCTGTAACCTCTGTAAGCTCCGCAACCTCCGAGCTCCACAGATCATCTTCGGCACTTTCACCGCTTGTAATGTATCTCTCGCATTTTCCCCTCATCCCTATTTGGACTGCTGCTTCTTCCCATTCTAGCCAGTTAGTCATCATCCCCACTTCCCCTCATCCTCCTGCCCCTCTGGGCCTCGCCCTCCTTACCTCCTTTCGGACATACCACAGGTTCTGCCTTATGACCCTTGGTACCACTCCGCTTCTGTCATCCCTTTGTTCCCATTTGGATCCCCTTTGTTTCCTTGTGCTTTCTATATATATCGGCACTTGTACATACTCGTTTTAGGCCTTAGTCTAAAATCGACCTGAAATGCCCCCTAGAGACTTCCTGCTCGCCTACTGTGAAATTAAGGACCAAATGGACAAACAGCAATGGCACAGTGCTCCGCTTGAGTTGCTGAGGCCAAGGTCCCTCCTTGCTAAGTCTCCGGTTCCCCTCCAGAATCGTCTGCCCTCACCCAGTTCTAACAGTGACTCGATTAGCCTAAGGATCAATTTTCTAAATAATATCCTCAATCATCATGGTGCAAAGCCAGTTAGTGATTGGAGGAGCCAAAAAAGAATATAACATGCTTACCAATTTGTCTGTTAGGATGCCCATCATGTTATGCCACCACCAATGGAACCACATTTGGGCCCTCCAACTTTCCATTGTAGGATCCTTGCAAAAAAGTGCCCAGCACAAATTGAAAAGTCTGGACTGCTACATTATTTCAGCCGTGCAACCCCTGAAGAATACCATGAACAAGTCTCAACTGGGTTTGAGAGAGTAAAAGAGAAATCTGAAGAGCTGCATAAGGTTGCACAACTCAAAGAAATGAAGTGGAAAGAGAGGCAATGGGAATTAGCTGCTGCAAGACAGTGGCGACTCCATGCCAAGATCACAGCAGAGCAGGTGGAAAAAAAAGATGTATGTATAGTGAACTTACTGTCAGAGCAAACAGTGCCTAATGTTTGTAGATGCTGCCAATGAAACTCCGGAATGGAGGGCCCCAAATGGCAGTACCAGTCACAGAGATGTTGAGACCAAAACGAGGGATACAGCAATGGCTAAAGGAACAGAAGCATTGGAAGTCCACATACAAGACCATGCCAGCAGATAGGCGAAAGGTACTTAGATTAGCGGCAGCAACTAATTGGTTCCAACCAATTTTCTGGACGATCATAAGTGAAGCAGCGGAAGTGGTTGGCTGGGAGATGAGACCGATAGAGATAATGAGGCAGTGCCAGCAAAGGTCTTGGAAGTTATTCCATTTGCTGAGGGCAGATGTGGTTGGGAAGTGGATAGATCGGAGTGGATCATGGCCATGTTGGTCAATGGCAGTCTTGGGAAAAGTTGCAAAGGGGAATTGTCCAGCTGGTGGTACCACTCAAAAAGGGCTCCTGGTTAGTGATCAATCAGGTGTTGAAACTAATTTTAACTCACACATGCAATGTAGGCATCATACCCAGAGATGATCGAGGGGATCAAGAAAATATTATTTAGTATTCGACAAACAGGTGTTGCTCTTGATGTGCACCAGATCCATGGTGTGATCATTGCACATATCCGGTATACTTGCCCCAAAATATTTAGGACCGTAGTCAATAGAGATGGAAGTACATTCTCCGCCAGCACACAATGGATACAGAATTTTCTCACCAAGGAGATGAACTGGAGTCTATGATGGGCAACATGTGCTGCCCAGAAGCTCCCTGCTAACGCTAATTATCAGCTTCATGCCTCACTCCTCCATCATGCCTACTCTGTTCGCCACTACTGCATTCCCAGCAACCTGCAAGTGAATTCTGATCAAACCCAAATCATTTACCAACAAGGTTCACAATCAACTTACGAAACCAAAGGATCACATCAAGTTTCAACTCTTGGCTGAGATGAGAAGCGCGCGTTTACCCTCAACATAGCTATCTCAGCGAGTGGGGCTCTTCTACCTTTCCAGGCCATCTTCAAAGGAAAGACCACAGCTAGTCTTCCCACCAAAAACTCCCTTTCTCATGACAAAGCAAATCAACTCGGTTTCCTCTTTGAACACTCAGGCACTGACAACTACTGGGCAAAATGAAATCGTTTGTCACAAATCTCCTTGCCCCATAATTTACTGCCACAAAGGAGCATTTGGGGCTTGATCCGCTTCAAGAATGCATGTGGCAACTTGATGTCTGGTCCATTCACGCTTCACTCGAATTCCGAACTTGGATTTTTGATAACTATCCCTGGATAATCCTGGACTATGTTCCTGGAGGGTGCACGGGCTTATGGCAACCTTGCGATGTGGGTATTCAACGCTTACTCAAGCTCACAGTGAAGCAATCTCAGCAAACTGTGATTGTACGTGAGGTCTTCTCTCAGTTACAAAAGGTGCTGGCCCATGCGATATCATGCTTGATACGAAGCTTGGCACACTGCAGGACCATGTCCCTGCCACTCTGGTTGATGTTAGAATGTGCGGATTTGGACGACTCCGGAGTGGAATCGGAGACTTAGCATGGAAGGACCTCGGCCTCAGCGACTCAGGCGGAGCGCTGTGCCATTGCTGGTTGTCCTAGGGGTCCCTAATTTCGGATCTAGCAGAGGGAAAGTCTCTTGGGGGGAATTCATGTCGATTTCGGACTGAGGTTACAAGTTACTATGTACATTGTATATAAGGAGGGGTCCGGAATCAAAAGGAGCGAGGGTACTCTGAAAGGAGACAAAGGGAGCTGGAAAGAGGAACAACACCGAGGGTCAAGGGTTTGACTCAATGGTGTTTCTCAAAGGAGGAATGAAGGGCCAAGGCCCAAGGAGGAAGGAAGGAGGATGGGAGTGGGGAATGGCCAGCTGACTGAATAGAAAGGAAGCAGCAGCCCAAATAGGAATGAGGGAGAATAGCGGTATTGAATAGGACAATGCAATAGTTGCAAGGTCTGAGGTAAGTCCGGAAAGTCCGAACTCGGAAGTTAAACTCCGGAATATTGGCAAACATAATTAAATGGAATGAGCTAACCAATACAATGGGTATAAGCGGAGGTGGGGTCAAAGTCCGAGGTCGGAGCTAAGACCGGAGGTTCCGGAGACGGAGACGCAAATGGGATTCCGGAGCGGAGGTCCGGAGTCAGGAGCTTAGGTTTTGCGTACTCGTCTGGAAGGTGTTGAGGTTGGGGTCGGACCCGGAATGTTCCGGAGTCGGACCAAAGGTAGTGTCCAAGCCAGAGGTGGGATAACCTGGAGTCGGCAAGGAGAAGGTGACGGAAGGGAAGTAGGGCTCCGGAAGTCGGAGTTCGGAGTTCTGGGAGCCCAGAGCGGAGGTCGGAATTGTATGGATATGACAAGTTTGAGAAGTACCAGTTTTGATTTTTTTAATTACCAATTTAGGAAAAATTGAATTGAAAATTGCACCGCCACTGGGAGCCACCCAAAGACTGTGACGCCAGACATCGTGACCGCAAAGCCACCGTGACGTGTGACAAACATCTGAAAAGTGCCCAACTGGATGGCCTGCATGATGCATGACTGGTTGTTGGTCATGTGCGTACAGTAGTCCAATCTGGATTGCTTGACTCTGAATCGAATCTGAACCACAGGAGCAGCAACAAGTATTGCAGCGACAAGTACTGTACTGGCATGACCAACAACCAGCTGGGTTGGGAGCGTGATGCATGACAGTCAACTGGCAACCTTGGGAACTGCATGACACAACCGGGTGTTTTATATCCATAAAATATGCAGAAAATTTTCGTTCTGTCCTGCCTTTCAAGTCATTATGGATGGGTTTGCTCTTGCCAGTCACATTGCTTCGTGTGCAGAGGAAACCATCACACTGTTAGCAATATAGATACCATTTAGGAAAATTTGAATATAATGTTTGCATGGCCACTGGAATCTGCCCAAATAGCGTGACACCAGACTTTTGAACTGCTATACTCGTGTGACGTGTGACAAATTTTCAAAAAGAACCGGACCAGCTGCCCTGCATGATGTGTGACCGGTTGTTGGTCGTGTCAGTACAGTATTACATTGCCATCTCCCCAACCTATTTTTTTTAAATATACACATACCCAATACACAGCCACCAACCCCAACCCAATGCCCCAACCCAATACCCAATGCACCTGTTAGAACTGGGCGGATACAGACGACTCCGGAGTGGAATTGGAGACTTAGCGTGGAGGGACCTTGGCCTCAGCGACTCAAGCGGAGTGCTGTGCCATTGCTGTTTGTCCATTTGGTCCTTAATTTCACAGTAGGTGAGCAGGAAGTCTCTAGGGGCATTTCAGGTCGATTTCGGACTGAACCAAAACGAGTATGTACAAGCGCCGATATATATAATGGAGGGGGCAAAAGCACAAGGAAACAAAGGGAAACCGAATCGGAACGAAGACATCCGAATGGGAACAAAGGGTAAAAGAAGCGGAGCAGTACCGAAGGTCATAAGGCAGGACCTGTGATACGTCTGAAAGGAGGTAGGGAGGGCGAGGCCCAGAGGGGCAGGAAGATGAGGAGAAGTGGGGGTGATGACTAACTGGCTAGAATGGGAAGAAGCAGTAGTCCAAATAGGGATGAGGGGAGAACGTGAGAGATACATTACAAGTGGCGAAAGTGCCGAAGGCGATCCGCAAAGCTCGGAGGTTGCGGAGCTTACGGAGCTTATGGAGGTGGGGTTGAAAGTCCGAGGAATATTGGCAATGGTGTTTACGTAGTATGAGGTCACCAATGCAATGGACTAAGACCGAGGTGGAGTCAAAGTCCGAGGTAGGGACTGTGATGGAGGCTCGGAGCAAAGGTACGAGCAGTGTCCGAGTACGAAGTACGGGACAGTGGTGGAAGGTCGTAACTTGGCAGGAGACCAGCGGAGGAGTACCAGAGGGAGGAGAGAGGAGAAAGGTAAGGAAGAAGGAGTGGTGGAAAGGAGAGTTGTCAGGTCTGAAGGTGAGTATCGGAGCGGATGGGGGAAGTGTAGGAGGGTGATGGGAGGGTGGAGGTGTTGTGAAGGAGGAGCAGAGTAGGAGGAGGAGAAGTAGTAGGAGGGTGGCGAGAGGGGCGGTGTTCGGTCCGAGGTGAGTATTGGAGCAGACGGAGATAGGGGAGGAGAGGGAAGGAGGAGTAGAGGTGGCGTGGGGGGTAGAAGGAGGTGTGTTGCCAGGACCGAAGGTGAGTATCGGAACGGCAGCGGTAGGGTATGACTCCGGAGGTGGAGAGGGTGGAGGTCCGGAAGTCGGGTCGGGGTCGGGTATGATATGACAGCACCAAGCCAACAACCCCTGATCCAATACCTAACCCATGTAAATCATCAGCCTAGTGGTGGTTGTGACTTAGATAAATAAATTATTGACAACTGAAAAGTCGCCAAACTAAGGGAGACTGGGCATGTAAGACAAAAGAAACAAGCACATGCCATGAAAGCTGCAGACCCAGGAAGAAGGGCAATCTCGGGGGGCACAACTAGCCACCTGGTGGGACCAAATCCCTGCCCCACCCGCCACACCAGGGCAGGGCCTACAAAGTAGGCTCTCAAACTTCCATTGAGAGGGACAAGGCCCAGACACACCTTCTGGTGGCTAAGACACCCCCAAACCAAATCAAATTTTTTTTTAAAAAAAAAAAAAAAGAGAGAAAAAACCCGATAAAGACGAAACTGTACATCTATCCCGGCCCCAACCAACCCACACTGCAACACGTGCCCCCCCGAACTCGTTAAAACCCTAAACCTGTATGCAACATGAGCCACATAGTAAGCCCAGATGCCTATCACGAACTGCCCAACAGATGACCCAGCCCACCCAAGAACTAGCTTGGGCACCAAAGGAAACAGAGGCAGCTCAAACACATCAAACACCTCCGACCTCCTAGCTCCCCCCAAGAAGGAAGCAAGGATGATGAGAACCAGCTCCGAAGAAACAATGATGGCCCCCATGGAACTGGGAAACAAGGACCAACCAACCCCTGACCCCAAAACAATGATCAGAGTCCCAGCCACACCAGCCCTGGGCCCAGATGACCAACTTTAATGTCTGCCCACTCCCGGAGGGCTTTGATCACCGGATCCTAGGCCTCAACAGCATGCACTGTCAGAGACCAGATCGAGATGAAGGAATGTCTCTGTGGCAGAGGGCTTCGGCCTCAGCGACTTATGCCAGGAGCACTGTGCCAAGTTGCACATCTGTGCCCTAATTTACTTACTGGCAATGAGAACTAAAGGGGGTCAACTCTAGTCGATTTTATTACTGAGGTGTAACCTATGTACAAGTCAAGTATATATAGTTACAGTGGGGGTGGGCCCGTAAATGATGGGGCTGAGCGGAGCGGAGCTAATGGGGTTAAACATTAGCCAATTGAATATTACTGACAAGTTGGGTTATGGGGTTAGTGGAATGGTAGGTGATAACCCAGAAACGGAAAGGAGGGATAGGCCCAAAGGTGGGCTTGCAGGGCAAGTGAGTGTATTGCACAGTGGAGGCAGGAGTGCGCTAGCGGACATCGGAGCTGTCCGGAAGCCTTCGGGGCTCCATACTTAGGGAGGCATAGGTAATATATTTAAAAGAGGGGGTGGTGACCATTGAGTGAAGCAGAGGTGATTGCGGAATATGGGAGCTCCGAGGTTAGTGAAGAAGGGGCAGAGGTAGTCCGGAGGTAGTGGAAGTCGATGGCCACGGATGGATATGACAGTATCCCCTTCTCAGGCCTGAACCCTTGAAGGCCCAGAATTAGTAAGGTGAGGGGAGCTGTACTTACAGAAAGGAGAAAATGAAAATGGAAGTGAGGAGTGGAGAGAAAGGGAGAGATGGGAGAGGAGTCAGGGTTCCTAAGGAGCTTTGGGACCAGGCTTGTCTGGGTACCGAGAGTGGAACGCTTCGACAAGGTCGGAGGCATGATCAAGTTCACCAGCAAGGAGCCATTGTGTCTCCTTGTCGGTCCCTTCATAGCCTAGCCACTTGACCAGGTAGAGCAACTTGTTGCGTCTACATCGGTTGATCTTGGAGTCGAGTATCTCTTTGATCTTGAACTCCATCTCGCCTTCGATTTCTATGGGAGGCGGAGGTGGCTGGTGGCAGTTCGGAATGATGTTCAGGATGGAGGGTTCGATCTGCAAGACATGGAATACCAGGTGAATGGCTCGCATGTTTTCTGGCAGGCAGAGAGTGAGGGAGTGGGTTCCAACACAGGCAATGATCTTGAATGGGCCGAGGTTTTTCTCAGAGAGCTTTTTGGAAGGTTGGGTAGAGCGGAAATACTTGGCCTTCACATAGACCAAAGTTCCTACCTCAAAAGCTGGGGCAGGACTCCGACAGGAGTCTGCCGGGCCCTGATAACGGATCTGAGCGAGGTGCATTTCCTTGCAAAGGAAGTGGTGGAGGGAGTCAAGATCTACAGAGTACTCTTGGGCGTGTACTGATGTCAGGTCTCACTCTGGGTGAACGGTGATGTTCGGATGGTAGCCTTTGTTGGTGAAGAACGGAGAGATGCCTGTGGTGGCATTTGGAGCATTGTTGTAAGTGAACTCCACGAGAGGCAGGAGTTCGGACCAATTGTCCTGCTGGTAGTTACTGTAGATGTGCAGGTACTGCTCGAGCGTCTGGTTCATCTGTTCGGTCTGACTGTCTCCTTCCAGATGATAACCGGAGGTGAAGTGGAGGCAGATGTCGAGGGCCTTACCAAGTGAACGGAAAAAATGAGAGACAAACTCCGGACCCCTGTCGGAGGTGACGTGGGAAGGAACTCTGTGCTTGGAGAACACATGGAGGAGGAAGAGCTTGGCCAGTTCCGGAGAGGTGATGGTATCGTGGGTAGGAATGAAAATGTACTGTTTAGACAGGCAGTCCATGACGACCAAGATGGAAGTGAATCCGGAAGAGGAGGGTAGCTGTTCGATGAAATCCATGGAGATGCGAGTTCCAAGGACATTCGGGGATGGGGAGTTGTTTGAGCAAGCCGTAAGGCTTATGACGGGGAACTTTGGCATGGGCACAGGAAGTGCATGAGGAGACATAACTTTTGACGAAGTTACGGATGCCTGGCCAGGTGTACTCACGATGTACTAGATCCAGAGTCCGGTTTTGACCGAAGTGTCCGGAAAGTTGGTGGTCATGTTTGTCTCGCAAAATGCGGAGACAGAGATCGTTGGGATCCGGAACATAAATGTGGTTGTCCAGCCTTAACAGGCCTTCGGCATCAACGGACCAGCGGGAATTGGGGAGGTTGGGGGAAGCGAGATGAGAAGAGATTGTGGTATCGGAGGAGAGGGAGGCTAGAATGTCTCGATGGAGAGCCTCTGTGTCAACGAGTACGGCTGCTCGGATTACTGTGGCAGCTAGGAACATAGCTCATAAGGACGCAGTGAGCTGCTCTGAAGTGAAGACCGGTCGGAAGTTCTGCGGATTGACGTGAGTGTAGTCCATATCCCCTTCTTTGGGATAGACGTCCCAGCGTCTAGTCAACGCATCTGGTTTTACTCCGAGTCTTCCAGGACGGAATTGGACAGTCATGTGGAACTGGGAGAGGAACTCTGACCAGCGGGCTTGCCGCCAAGTCAAGAGTTTGGTGGTGGAAAAATACTCGAGGTTCTTGTGGTCAGTAATGACGTCGATTGGAGTTCCTGAACCTTCAAGGTAGTGACGCCACGATCGGAACGTGTCATGGATGGTGAGCAGTTCCTTATCGTGGGTGTCATAGTTGAGCTCCGGCACCGAGAGTGTTCTGGAGTGGAAAGCGACGGGGCAAATCTCTCCATCATCACAATGGATGGACAGGATTCCGGAGATCGCGTAATTGGAGGCATCGGTTTCTACAATGAGGGGGGCATCAGGTAACCAATGTGTCAGGATAGGAGCAGAAGTGAAGGCTTCTTTCAAAGTGTTGAAAGCAGAGCGACAGTCGTCAGAGAATAACCAGGGGGCTCCCTTACGTGTAAGGCACGTCAAGGGGACCACAATGTTAGAGTATTGGTGGATGAAACGCCGATAGAAGTTAGCGAAGCCAAGGAAGGATTGGACATCCTTGACTTTATGGGGCTCAGGCCAATCTTGGATGGCTTTGACCTTCTCAATGGACATGGTGAGTCCGGAGGGAGAGAGGCAGTATCCAAGATATTCCGTAGTGTCCATATGAAATTTGCATTTCTTCGGATTGGCATATAGGCCGTGTTTGCGGAGTCTCCTAAGAACTTCTCGGACATGCTCCTGATGTGAAGCCATGTCTTCCGAGTAGGTAAGGATGTCGTCTAGGTAGTCTACCACAGAAACGTCCAAGAGGTTGGCAAAGATCGTGTTGACAAATCGCTGGAAGGCCACGGGTGCATTTGTGAGACCAAATGGCATGACAAGCCACTCATAGGAACCATAGCACATGCAGAAGGAAGTCTTCCATTTGTCGCCTGCTGCAATGCGAACCAGGTGGTAAGCATGCTGGAGGTCGAGTCTGGTGTAGACTGTGGCACGGCTAGGTGCGTCAAGGAGGTTGGAGATGCGGGGGAGTGGGTAGCGATCCTTTTTGGTGATCTTGTTCAGACCTCGGAAGTCAACGCAGAGACGGAGGGATCTGTCCTTCTTGCAGACGAAGAGGACCGGTGCCACGTGAGCGGAAGTAGTGGGACGAATGAACCCGGAGGCTAGGTGTTCATCTAAGAACGCCCGGAGGGCCTCAAGTTCTGAAGTAGAGAGAGAGTACATAGTACCCAAGGGTGGTGAGGTGCCTTCCTCAAGGTCGATCTTCAGGTCGTGCTCACGGTGCGGTGCCAGCGTCGAGGCTTTGCTCTTACTGAACACATCCGCGAACTCGTGATACTCCTTCGGAACGCCCAAGAGGTCAACGGAATTGGTGTGGGATGAGGCAGCCCTCAAGTGGCTTTCCTCGGAAGGGATGGTTAGGCTGAAGGATACTGATCCTTCAAGTTGACAAGCCTTCACGAATGCGGAACGGCTGACGAACTCGATAGATGGTAATGGAGGAGTGGGAGCCTGTGACTGAGGTGCTGGTGAAACATCAGATGGTTGGATGTCGGACGACGGCAGTGTTGCCAGAGACGACGGGGGAGAGCTCGGAGTAACTGTCTTGGTAGGTTTGGAAGTTCGGAATGTAATACTGCTTGAGACCCAGTCAATCAACAGATTGTAGCGGTTGTGTCCTAGGACTAGGGAACATGATCCATCCAGCAATGTGACAAAGAAAGTTGTGGGGGTAATGTTTCCGGAAGCGAAGTGGAGGGGAATATCAATGGCACGGGTTATGATTGAGTTGGTGCTACCGTCGAATAGGCGTAGTTGTAGGGGTTTAATCTGATATGTCTTCAAGGCCAACTTCTTTACGAATGTGTTGTCGATGAAGCAGTCCGAAGACCCAGAGTCTATGAGTGTGGGTATGTTCTCATGGGAGCAGAAGAGTTTATTGTGTGTCCTATCATTGGACGGAGGAGAAGGAACAGGAGAAGAGAAAGAAGAGAAATGGAGAGAGGTGGATCGATCTACGGAAGTAGTCAGAGGGGGCGGAGGAGAGAGTGGTACATCAGCAACACTATCTACAACGGGTAGAACATTAACCGGAGGGTCAACATTGAGAGGAGAAAATAGACCATTTGAAAGAGAAAAAGAAACAGGAATATGGAGGGAGGATAAGTCGGAGATGGAAGACGCATTTAAACACACTTCTTTGAGTGCATGGAGGGAAGAATCGCAACCCCCGGTCCGTGCGGAGTCCATGGGGGTGCGGACTAATTTTTTGCTTCTGTGGAAGTGTCAGGGACGCATCCGGGGTCGAGAGGGCCCGGGGGTAATGTCCGGCACTGAAGCCGTCGCGGGGTGTGGAGCGGGTGTGCGTACTGGCGGGCCCGATCCGAGACAGTGGTCCCTGGCCACTCAGTCTGAAGTGGAGAATGTGAGAAGAAGGTTACTTCTTTGGTTCCCACTTCAGGTACATTTATGT